CCCCACCGATCCGCCTCAGGCCCAGGACCTCCATCTTTGCCGGGTTTAGTTTCAACCGGCTCAGCCTGAGCCAACCAGCCACAGCTTGTAGCGCCCGATGCAGGTCATCGGGAGTAGAGTCCGACCGGCTGCCTAGCATCAGATAGAGCTGGGTGTCATCGGCATATTGATGACAACCCAGCCCACACCTCCGGGCAATCTGGGCAAGGGGGCGCATGTAGATGTTAAACAGCATCGGGGACAACACGGCCCCCTGGGGCACCCCACACTCGAGGGGGTGCCTCTGGGACCACTGATCCCCTATCGCCACCCTTTGTCCCCGACCTTGGAGAAAAGAGGCAAACCATTGCAAGGCTAGCCCCTGAATCCCCACGTCGGCGAGGTGGTGGGTCAGCAACTGGTGGTCGACCGTATCGAACGCGGCCGAAAGATCTAACAGCACCAGAGCCACCACACCACCCCGATCCAGATGCCTGCGGAGATCGTCAGTCAAGGCGACCAGCACAGTCTCCGTCCCATGACCAGGGCGAAAGCCGGACTGGTAGGGATCGAGGATGGAAGCATCCTCCAGAAAACTCTGAAGCTGTAACGCCACCGCCCTCTCAATAAGCTTGCCCAAATAGGGCAAGTTAGACACCGGCCGATAGTTAGCCAATTCGGTCGGGTCTAGGGATGGTTTTTTCAGGAGAGGGTGGACCATCGCTTCCTTGAGTGCCTTGGGGAATTGTCCCTTTGTGAGGGACAAGTTAATAATCTCCTGCAGGGCATCTCGGAACCCCTCGTGGCCAGCTTTAATAAGCCAGGAGGGGCACGGATCAAGGTCGCATGTAGTCGGGCGCACAGCTACGAGTAATCTGTCAACTTCCTCCAGACTGAGTCGGTTAAAACATACTAAACCCGGCTCCAAAGACGTGCAAGGGGCCTCAAGTTCACTCACTGTCTCAAGTGTGTGGGGGGGTCGCGACGGAGCATCGAGACTTTATCTGCAAAATAGCTCGCAAATGCCTCACAGCCTATCTCCAATTCCCTACCGTTTTGACTGCCACGAGGCAGAGTTGTCAAAGACCAAATTGTACTAAATAATTGTGCCGGGCGTGAGCTAGCAGGTGCAATCGAAGCCGCATAGAACTCTCTCCTTGCGGCTTTGACTGCCATCTCATAGGCCTTCATAAACGTCCTATAAGATGCTCTAGAGGCTTCATCACGAGTTCGATGCCACCGTCTCTCTAACCGTCTCAGCTCCCACTTCAGCTCACGCAGATCCTGGGTATACCAAGGCGCTCGCCTAACACAGGTGCGGAGAGGGCGCCTGGGAGCGATCTAGTCGATGGCTGAGGAGAGCCGGACATGCCAGTCCTCCACCAGCTCATCCAACGAATCCCAGGGGGCCTCGGATCCCGCAGAGCCATCTGAAGCCGCATAGGGTCCATTTGGCGCCGCGGGCGAGCATAAATCTGCTCACCGCCTAAACAGGGTTGGGGTGGAACCCTCAGATGGGCCTTCAGGGCCTGGTGGTCCGACCATGGCACTACCTCAGCGGTAATCCGGTCCACCTCCACCCCCGCCGCGAAGAGCAAATCGAGCGTGTGCCCGGCACGATGCGTGGCAGCCGAGACAAGCTGAGAGAGTCCCAGCGTCGCCATGGATGACACCAGGTCCGTAGCCCGGCTGGAGGTTGCGTCCTCGGCGTGGACATTGAAGTCACCCAAGACAATCAGCCTAGGGTGCTCCAGCGCCCAGCCTGATACGGCCTCCAGCAGGGACGGCAGGCTACTAGCCGGTGCGTTAGGCAGTCGGTACACCAGCCAGATCACCAAACTCTCCTCAGCCTCCAGCATCACACTGACACATTCCACGCCCTCAATCTCCGCTGGCGGGAGTGCCCTGAAGGAGTAAACCGCCCGAATGAGGATAGCCACTACTCCCCCCCGCCCCCAAGTCCGTGACTGGTGAAGGACCGAGAACCCCGGTGGGGTCAGCTGGACAAGAGCTACAGTTTCTCCCTCCTGCAACCAGGTCTCGGTCACACACGCCAGGTCTGCATGTTGATCTTGGACAAAATCCCGAAGGGTTGTAGCTTTGTTATTGACAGACCTGGCATTAAACAACACCAGTGACGAAGGGGGGTCCTTCCTTTTGGCCCCACTGCCAGCCACCGTTGGGATGGGCCGAAGGCTGAAAGGGCGCCGAGCCAATCCATTTCTCTGCGTCCTTCCCTTACAGTTCCGCCTTGGCCCACCGCACCTCCTCCGCCCCAAGAGCACCGGAATTTGCTGCCCAGCCATTTATGCCCCCTAGTGGCCTCCGCAGCACTTCAGGCCAACCAGAGGCTAAGTAAAGGGTTCAGCAATAACCCTCAGTGCAACCAGCTCGACTTAAACCTTAGCCTACTAAAATCCCGCACTCTGAGTGCTATAAGATTAAACCGACAATCACCAACCATACACACTCCCATACAGCACTCATTCACCCATCGTACTCCTAGCAGCCAAATCCTAAAACATATTCAAATCAAACTGATCGCCCATGAAAAACCCCACCACCTCTCCTACTGGCAAGGGCATTGATATAAACAGCCCTCTAATCTGCCCAGCAAACCGCCGCCGGCTAGTCGTCTCACAGTTCCAAGCTTCCCTCCAAGGGGAAGAGAAACAGCGTTCTTCCGCCAACAGCTATTCCCCAGGCCCTCCACCGGCGGCACTCTAAACACCCTATACAGCTCAACTCCTTGCTCTCCGGCTTTCCCCAACGCCACCGGCTCTGATGTCCTCCTGTCAGGGTCTTCAATCCCCGACCGTTCAGATGTTTCCCCTCCGGCGACCCGTCTCTACGGACTAAAGTTCTCAACCGTTCCCGCCGGGGTGGCTCTGCTCTCATGGCCACTCCTTCCGTTTGAATTGGGCAGCACCTTCCTTCGTCCAACGCTTTAGTTGTTCCCAGGAGCTCCGTGGGGGGGGGGAGACCCTCCGTGAGCAGGGGAAAAACCTCCCTGCCCTCCCACCGACCTCTGCTGGTCTGCCGCTCAGTCTCCAGGGGCTTCATGGGAGAAAGCTCCGTAGGTGGGGGGGATGCGGAGGGCCGAAACCCTCCGGAAGGAAAGACCCCCCCCTCGACGCTCCTACCGCCGACTGCTGGGCTGCCACCAAACCGGGCCGCCGCACCCCCAACCGCCAGGCCTGTGACCGCCTCCACGTCAACTCCTCGGGGCCGCTGACCACCGCTGCTCCGCTCCCTCAAAACTCCTCGGGGCCGCTGGTCGCCACCGCTCCACTCGAACTCTGGCTGCGTCTGGTCGCGTCGCCCACACAACACTCCGGCCTCACCAGCTGCACCAGCTTCCGCCGCGACGCCTCCGCTGCGTCGGAAACAAATCCACGGCAGTCCCCGGTGGCAATTGCTGGAACCTCAGCCGGCCAGGCCGGCTCCACCCGACTCGGTCTTCCTTGGACATCCGGGGCGCCCAGTTGATGACTTCGCACCCCGCATTCACCCCGAGCCGCCAGGTAAGCTCGAGTGTGCTCCGTGACGTACCCAGGCTCGGTGGTTGTTACAATGTCGCCGTTATTCGATTTTTTCGTCCCGGCAGCGGTGAGTTCTCTTATAGATGGTATCTTTTTTTATTTCCATCGCCTTGCTATCAGGATTCTGGCTGCCGTTACAATATATACAATTAACTGTGTGTGGTCCTTTATTTTTTCCGGTATCATATTATGTAGCCATATTACTGGTACTAAAGGCATATTTATTTTTGTAACATCTAGAAGGATTTTAGCAATTTTTCCCCAGAATATCTGGATTTTGTCACACCTCCACCATACGTGAAGGTATGATCCTACATTTTTCCCACATCTCCAACATATGTTTGATGCTTTCGGGAAACATATTGCCATTTTAACCAGCTTGCCATTGCCACCTATAAAACATTTTGTATATGTTTTCCTTATACAGTGTGGCTCTCATAAATTTTAATGATTTCCATGTTACAGTCCATTGATTTGCTTCTATTGGGTGCCCAAACGCTTTTATCCAGACTGACATAGAGAACATAAGAACATAAGAGACGCCAATGTTGGATCAGGCCAAAGGCCCATCCAGTCCAACTCTCTGTGTCACACAGTGGCCAGAAATACCAGTGCCATCAGGAGGTCCAGCAGTGGGGCCAGGACATTAGAAGCCCTCCCACTGTTGACCCGCCCCCAAGCACCAAGAAGACAGAGCATCACTTGCCCCAGAGCCCCTATCTATACCTTGTGGCTAATATCCACTGATGGACCTCTGCTCCATATGCTTATCTAATTCCCTTTTGAAGCCGTCCATGCTTGTAGCTGCCACCACTTCCTGTGGCAGTGAATTTCATGTGTTAATCACTCTTTGGGTGAAGAAGTTTCTTCTCGTCGGAAATCCTCTATCAAAATGGTATAAAGTTTCTGAATAAGTTTATCGCTGGAGGATAACCAGATTTTATCAAATTCGTTTAAGCTAGTATAGAATCCTATTTTTTAATCTTCATTATATCTTGATTTTAATACATTTTTTCCCACCAGGACAGTTTTATATTTTGTTTTAATAAAGCTTCCTGTTTTTAGTTCAACCTTTTTATTTAAAAGGTTACCATAAACTTCTTTAATTTTCCCTATTTTAGTGAAGGTTTGGCAAATGCCTCTATCGGGGATATCCATGTTGGTATTTTAGTATAATTTTTATATTTTATTAAATTCCAAACTTTAATGAGGGAGCTTCTTATTATGTGTGTGTGAAAGTTAGAGTGAATTTTATCTTTCCCGGCCCATAGGTACACATGCCAACCCATTACTAAGTCCGATCCCTCTAATGCTAATGTTCTGGTGTCTTCTAGCATTGCCCATTCCTTAATCCATACCATTGAAGCTGCGAAGTAATACAATTGCCAATTAGGTAGTGTGAAGTCTCCTTTTTTTTACTCTCCTGAAGATATTTAGTTTTTATTCTCGGTTTTTTAGAAGCCGCTCAGACCTCGCCACAGGAGCAGGGAGAGTTAGCAGGAGATCAGCAGCAGCGGTGGAGGAGGAGACCGCCGGAGCCAAGGGGAAGGGGAAGAAGATCGATGAAGCTCGGCGGCTGCAAGCCGCTTGGGCCTCGCCGCCGGGGGGAGATCGGCGAGGCCCGGTGGGTGCAAGCCGCTCGGGTCTCGCTGCCGGTGCCA